AATAGCTGTACTTAGAGCACAAGATTAGCAGATACTGAGGGTCACCTTAAAATGCTCAGAGTCCTAGTATGCACCATCAAAGTCCAATTTTCAGCAAGCAGACGTTAGTTAAACATAGAGGGCTCACTTGCATGCAAGACACTCAGTGTGGGAATGTAATGCGAGTTTTAGTTTCTTAAGGGTCTCCAAGAAGGTACTTGGTAATCAGTAAATTGTGATGTTTACTTGAGGCAAGAGACGCTGTCCTCTTGTTGCCTGGTGCTCAGGAAGGTGGGTGGGTTTGGCACAGCCCTGTAATGGGATCCCAGCCCTGAGGGGGTCACACAACAAACAACCTTGAGTTGTGATCTTTGGGCCATGCAGTAAAACTGCTTTGTTGTTGTTGTTGAAATAATTCCTGAGACTTCACAGAGGAATAATCTTCAGTAATCTTTGTCTGGATACGGGTTGTTTGAGTAAACAATTAACCACTAACTTCTTCACACCCTCAAATACTCCAGCCAAGTACCTTGGCTTTAGGAGCAGAGGACATGGTCAGTGGTTCCAGCCCTCCCAGAAGGAACCAAGCCTCACAGTATGTTCAGATGGATTGGATCTCCAACACCCCACAAGCAGCGGGGCTTCCTCAGAACAGTGTGACCTGCCATGTTGAATAAGCAGAGTATGGGCCTAATTTGGATCACATCTTTGATATGAAAACTGTTTGGTGCTTAGGTATATTTTAACTGTGACTCAGAATTGCAATTGCAGAATTTTACTTCAGTGCAACCTGAGCATAAAGTGTGCTGGTCTGTGTGTCCTTGAAGGGTGATTTCAGGGCTAAATGTGTGTGTTGTACAGCAGAGCTGTGCAGACTTGTCAAAAGGAGAGTACACAATGTCCTGACAAAACTGAAATTGCAGAATGCAGATCACTAATGGCAGTTGGTTGTTTTGCCATATGCACGATGCAGGTGTACCTGAGCACACCCTACCACAATCTGCTCTGCTGTTGTAATCAAGGTTCAGAGTGAGAGAGAGCTGACCCAGAACCTGGCTCCCAAATTCCTGCATTCCCACTGACGAGGCTTGTGCAGGTCCCACCAGCTCCTCAAGGAGCTGCTCTTTCAGCCAAGGCAACTGGTGGCTTCTGGGTTCCAGTCAGCAGGACTGGCTCACTGGCCACATGGTTGCCAGCAGTTTTGAAAACAAATAATTGCAACTGTGGTGAGACTTGTGCTTGGTTGTTATTGTTAGTATTGTAAAGGTTGGATGTGTTGGATAAGAAGTGGTTTATTTCCTGGTTTATTTCCTGGATGTTTAGTGATTAATCACAGCTGGCAGAAGATGACTGAAGGAAGGGGAATTTAAGGTGTAAATTGAGAGGAAAAAAAACCCAGAAGCTTTTGAAGTATGTAGTCCAGCATGTTGCTTCTTCTAGTGGTCATTTTTTAGGGTGAGAGCAGAGGGATAGGTACATACGTTACAGCAGTTTTCCAGTACATTTTTCAAAGTGCAGTACTCCTAAGTGAGATCCTGCTGCTGCTAATGATTCATCTGAGAGAATGGCCATGATTCTTCAGTTCTTTGTAGATCTTTACGTAACTCAGTTGAAGAATAGCCCTCTTTGCCACAGCTAGCCAGAGCTGAGTCAATTCTAGGGAGGAGTTTTATTAATAGTTAAATTAAATAGCAGGTTCAGTAACGTTAGCCATAGCAGTAGCCTTAACTGAAGATGATGCCAATGGGTGATTGCTGTACCTCTTCCTCCATCATTTCCATTAGTAGCACTCTCTTACTGCTGAAACCATTTGCCTTAGCCTCAATTTTATTAGCTTTCAGAAATGCTGAAGAACTAGTACACTGTTTTTCAGGTGCCTCATACAGTCAGATTCTGGGCCTCTTACTGCTATCAAAAGTCTAGTAAGAAATTATAAAGGTTGGGAATAAGTGACTGAGAGTATTAGAGACTTTGCTGATACTGATCTTAGAGATAGTATTGGCTGTGTCTGCTTCAGGTTGATGCCTGGCTGCTCAGGCTCTCTGGGCTGTAGTGCTTGCTATGTTAAGACCCTGCAATACTCTTTAAACTTTTCATGCTGAAGTAGAGTGACTTTGGGGTGGCAGATGGCACAGCATAGATTTCTGATACATCACTGTTTTTTGGCTGTTGTCCTTATGACAGCTGTGCCTGGTTAGGGAGCTCAAAAATGCCTGAAAATAATTACCTTTAATTTCTGCAGGTGGCATCATGGTAGTTTTAGGACTGTGTTGATTCTTTTCTATTTGTTCCTTTGTACCCTTTCTGCCTTCATTATGCATCTGATAGAAGTGTTTAAGAGCAGGGTTTTGGTGGTTTGTATTGGTTTGCGTTGTGTTTTTGCGTTTTTGCTTTGATACAGTGCCCTGGATAATGTTTTGTCTTGTCTTTTCTCTGAGTGTTTTACTTAGTCTGAATTCACTTTCCATTCACTGTTTATCTTCTTATGAATAGTTACTTTTTTGTATGTTTAAACTGAGTAAAGTTTTATGACTTACAGTATCCAAATATGTGTAAATACTGACCCAGATGAAAATATTTACTGGAGCATTGGTTCATCTATACCTGTTTGGGTAAACAGAAATGATGTTATGATAAAAACTGCCATGTTCAGACTCTATTTTTGTAACCTTTAAAGTTAGTGTAAATTCCTCATGAATTAATTAGAAGTATGAAGTGAAAAGAGTAGGCTGTGTGTGCAAGTTCTGAGGGTGCTCCAATGATGGCTGTGTCTCAAAAGTTGGAATTGTTTGGGATAAAGAGGAAAAAAGTTTGGGTAGGCAGGCAATACAGGTTCCTGGAAATACTGAAAACACTGAATTCCTTAAAGGGATTTCTGCTGGTGCTTGCTTTTTGAACTTCTTGAAACAATATTTAGGACACTCAAAGAGTATTCCAAATGCATTTCCCCTAAAAAAAAAAAAAAAAAAAAAAAAAAAAAAAAAAAAAAAAGTGGTGAAGTTTATAGACTATTTCATCTTCTGTAAAATGTGGAGAACAGTTTCATCATTGGAGATGTATTCTTCAGTGGGTCAAGTGTGAGTGATGTCACCCAGATAATTTGTAAAAAGAGGAGTTTAAACATTGGGATTTTATATCTGCTTCAAAAAACCCTGTAACATTTGCAAAAGATCTTAAAAGGATTTTAGAGAAAAAATATTTTTAAAATAAAAAAAAATGAATATTGTTATGGTACAATAATATTCTGTATGAAGTGAGGACTCAATAAATGGCCTAGAAGATTGTTGAAGATTTTCTCTAGACTTATAAGTTCGTATTTAGTATCATAATAATTAGATCAATATTAATGTATCAATGACAAAACAGGAAAGTTAGTGACCAATTATTGTAGGTAATATTTCTTAGATCTGACATCAGGGATTTGGGAATATAGGAGTCTGTAATTGCCCTTTGCTTCTGTGAATGTTGAGAGGCTCTTAGGCAAGATGCAAGGAGGAGGCCAGATGGTCTGGAGAGAAGAGGGCTCATGTAACTCCATCTCATAACCTGTCACCTCCAATTTACTGTTGCTACTCAGGGCTTCCTTTGCTGAAGTCACCTGAATTGCTGCATCCATATGTGATAATACATGTCCCTCCTCTGTGCAGTCTGTCTATTGATTCCTTGCTTACTTAAGTTAGATTAAAATAATCAGAACTTTTGTGAAGCCTATTACAGGATCAGCAGAGCTAATCTAAATGTCAAATTCATAGCAGCTTTTAAAAGAAAGTATTTTAATTTATGGATGTCTGGCATTATGGGATGTGAAAATTATTAGTTCACTTTAATCAGTATCTAATCTGTCAGTAAGCAGTACTTTGCAGAAACAGCAGATTATTTAATTCAGTTTTAACGTATGATATCTTTGTGGAGTGATACAACATGCACCACCAACAAAACCCATGGGTTTGTGGTCAGCGCATCTCAGTGCTTTTGTAGAACTACTGCACAGTCAATGGCAAGATAGCATTTATCTTACTTTTTAGCAAGTGACAAAAGCAAGTCATACTACACAGGGAGGAAGACAGTAAACCCATTTAATTCATAACTGAATGACTAAACAGTTACACCTGTAGAGGTCTTTTTGGTTACATGGCTTTATCCCCTGTATTATCATGCGAGAGATGAACTTCAGATATTTTCAGCCACATCTTGCCCAGAGTAAAAGTAATTTGATACTGCCTGAAAGAAAATCTGTTCTCTTACTTACTGACCAAGTCGCAATGATAAAACTTTAAAAGTTTACTCTTATTAAATATTATATGGGGAGCCTTAATAATAATGTAATGATGGTAGCTTGTACCCTAGCACTAGGCAATTTCTCCTCTTTTGTTGTTAGAAATTTATTTTTAGTCACTTGATTACAACTAACCCCCCTTAATTCTGTAAATTTGTTCTAGTCTTAATGGTCTCTTAAAGGTGGGATCAGGTTTGTAATTACCATTTGTACTTTTCTAATGTTTCCAGTGTAATATTTTCCAGTAACAATCATGTCAATCTAAACCAACAGACAAAATCATATTTGGCTATGTAATTTAATATAATAACATGGACAAACCAATCCTGTACTAACTGGCTTTGAGCTGTTGAAATTGAGGAATACTGTCTTCCTAGTGCACTTGGAAATTTTATAGCAGCTAAATAAGTCAACCAGAAAGTGATCAAAGTGACAAAATGATCAAAGTGACAGGAAATTATATTTTAAAGTATAATCAAAAACATTACCATTAAATAAATATTTCTTTATGCTAAACATGTAGAAAAAATAATAGAAATGTGAAAGAATTTAAAAAACCCAAAACATTCTTAGAATGGTGCACTGAAAATGCTCAGTGCTCAGAATGTTTCATTACTGGACTAAGAATGATTATTGCTTTTATGTGGCTTATTCTTACAAAAAGGAATTGTTTTGTTCTTTATAGTTTTCAGTCCCAGATTGTATTTATAAATTTATTATGGCTTATTTATTCATTTTTTCCCAGGTCTGACAGCAGCTGCCATGGCCGAAGCCATGAAGTTACAAAAAATGAAGCTGATGGCGATGAATAGCCTTCATGGAAGTGGAAGTCAAAATGGGACAGAATCAGAAAATGAAGAGCTCAATTCTAATGCAGGTGAGTAATCCTGAGCGTGGGAGCTCTAGGAGAGCTCTGAACACCTGTTTTTGTGCATGGGAAACAAAACCAGAAATCCATTTCAGATTCTTGCCCTCTTTAATTTTGTAAGCTTTGCTCTGCCAGCGTCAGATCGCTTTCCTCCAGTATTTCTCCTGTTTTCCTAGCAGTCATCTTCATTAATTTTTTGAGAAGTTTTGGTGAAGGATTGTTTTAATTATGTTAGAATACAGACATTAGAAACTAAATATATTTGTAGTAACAAAAGACTTCTCTATTGGCACGAATACAGTGAGTCTAGAGTTTTCCTGTAAATGATGGAAAGTTTCCAAAGCGTCAGGTTGTTGGAAGTCATTATGAGTTCCACAGTTCACTGGAGAAAGGTAAAGTAGGGAATGCCAAATCACCAACTTCTTGTTTTTTTCCCTGAATGGGCATTTGCAAACCACAGCTCAGAAGGAGACTCATGATGAATGTTCTGGCCTGGCTGGCTGGAATAACACTGGGTAGAAGGCACTGGCATCAACATAGGCTCAGTCTGTGCTACTGTCAACATTACTGTGGACTTAAACTGAGCTCCTGAGCCCCAGCTCCACAAGAATAGGGTTCCAAGTCAGAAATGGGTCCTTTGAAGAGGATATATTTTGTTTAATTCTAATCTCCTTATCAGGTGAATAGGAGAGATTTTTACTTGGACAGTGTAGAGAACCTAGAATAAGGTCAATTTTGTCTCAGAATGCTGCTGGATACCTACTGCAATAAGGCAAGTTCACTTGGACCCACTTTTTGGCACAAGCAATCCTGCAATACACTCTTAGCCTTTTGGAAACTTACACAGTGTTTGTTTTCATTATCAATTCAAGACAGAGACATTGATCCCTCTTGGGTTCAGCTCACCAGCACTCACATGCCTCTGAAGTCACACACACGTCTTTATAGACAAAGAGGCTCTCATAGTTTGCCTGCTTGGATGGTGCAGAATGTATATGCATTGTACCGTCAAAATGGTAATTTATTAGACCAATAAAGCAGCAGCTGGGAGGTCTTAGACTCATTTTCTAAAGGAATAACTTTGAATTCATGACAAATTTATGCACAAAGCAGTCTTTCCAAAAGTGGTGTTGCCTTTTGCTAATTTTGTGTACTCATCTGTATTGAAGAAATCTGGCTTCTAATTCATGCATTAAACCCTTTTCCAGCTTTCTGTTAGGTGGGATATGTATTTCTCACCTCTCAGACCCTAATCAATTAGTGCATATACTGAATTCAGAAAAAAAGCACTGAAAAAGCATGTTATACTCCTTATTTAGTTCAAAATTAATCATGACATTTCAGTGAATGCTAAGAAGTATGACTGAAGATAGAATTGTACAGAACAGCAAGGAAGCTTCATACAAAAAAGATGCAGGGTTAGGATTAGGCTTTTTAAAAGCTGCTGTACAAAAGCTTGCTAATTTGAATATTCATTATTTGGTGTGTTACTTGATAGGGCAGAATTTGTATACTTTATATGGGGAAAACCTACAGTACATGAATATTATTCTTTTAGGTACCTCATTGACAAGTTTTATGGGGGACTCTCATACCAATCTTTCAAATATCCATCAAGAGCATGCGAATTAAATAAATGTTCTCTGTGGTTTAGCAATTTGATGAGTTCTAGAACTGACTCAGTATCAATTTAAATATTTGGAAAAATTCCCTCTGACTTTAGCTAAAGTTACAGTGGGGCCCAAAGATAAGGAATTCCTGTCAGTTATATAAAGATCTTTTCTCAATTCTTTCCCCTTTTCATTGCCTAATTTAGTAAAATGGCCAAGAACAAATTAAGTGGATCAGCTGCTAGTATTTCTTACAGACAGAGAGGTAAGTCCTTAACAAAAAGAACTACTGCGACAGATGAGTCCTTAACAGAACTACTAAAAAGCACAATTTTCCCTCTTTCTATTATCTGCAATGCCAACATTGGGCTCATTTTTATTATGCATAGCTTCTCTTTTTATTGCAGGGTCATTTTTAAAGATTTACATTAAGTAGGTACAGCAGGATGTGTGAAAAAAAGAAAATGAAAGGAATGTAAAGCTGAATTATACATTCCACTGTTCTTAATAAGTGAGTAGTTGTCAAATAGTCAGTATAGAAAGCTCATGGGAGGCTGAGGTAGAGTATGAAGAGAGTGGACACTTTGTTTGGAAATTGATCCACATTTTGTAACTTTGATTCACTATAGAGAGAAACACCATAATAATTTTGTGTGCATGAAACCTTTGCCAAATGTTTGTTTTGCTCTAAACTCTTAACAATTTAAATGAGTATTAAAAACAAAATGGGGATGTGAAGGAGAAAGAAAATTGAATTTTGAATATTGATTTTTTTCACTAAGAAGAGGTAAAAAGCAGAGCGAAGGAGTCAGAAGCCTCATAAGTGAGAAAAACATTTTATTTTAGGAGAGAGACCTACAGTTTGTTTGATTTGAGGTTGTGTTTAATAGCTTCTGTAATGGCTGCAACATGACTCTGCATCTAGATTTCAGCATGAATAACAACCTGTTCGTGTTTCATTTAGCTCCAAATGAGAAATTCTGTCTTTTATTGTTTTAGGAAATTAGTCTGTGTACTATTGCTCCTGGAACTTTATAATTAATCACAAAAGGTTATGGCTGTGGAGAGTTTGTGGGAAATAGATGTCTGAATGATTATAATTGTAGCTGTCAAATCAGAAATATAGTTGTACAGAGCAGAGGACCTTTAACTTCCTTTGATTTGTTTTGTAGTGGTTTTGTTTTTTTCTTTTTACTGTAAGAAAGACTTGAAGTGTTGCAGTTTTACTTGAAACAACAACTGCAGAGATTGTTGGCTTTTCACCTCAGTGGTACCAATTGACTTCCTTTGGCATACTTAAGATCATAGGATGTCTTGGGCTGGAAGGGACCTCTAAAGGCCATCTGGTCCAACCCCCCTACAATAAGCAGGGACATCTCCAGCCACCCTTCAATATTCCTCGTCTTCTCTAATCTGGTATATGAGTGGAATACTCTCTTTTGCTGGTGTTTATTTTTAATTAAAAATGTAATTGATCAGTATCAAGTCCTAAATATTTATTGCCAGATTTTTTTGAAGTTTGTCACTATATACAGGTGATTGGTATAATAAAAAAGGGTATCTTGTCATATTCATTTCAGGCCCCATCCTGTATCTGTTGAAGTCAATATGAAATAATTTTGGATTTTTCTTAAGTAATGCCTAAACTGTCACTTCTGTAGTTTCTTTCTCTCTGTGTGTGCATCTCTGGTGATGGAAATTTTTGAAGAGTTTCTGTATCTGGAGCCAGAACTCATGCTACCAATTTAAAATCTCAACTCCGACTCTCACGATCACTGACTATAATTGCTCAGATATATTGTCCTCTAGGAAATTACAGGTGTGAAATTGCATCTTACAAGTGTGTCTAAGAAAGTGGTGAATAAATGCACCAGTTCTTTTCCTGCTTCTAGTCCAGCTGGAATGTTTTTGCCATCAGGCCCTACCTATGTCCTTTATGTGATATTATAATAATAATCTCAGTAACGGTGGCATTTAGTATTGGAAGATTAAAAATAACTTACTAAAAAAATGATGCAAGAGACAATACTGGATCTGTGAGGAAAAAGGTACAAAAAATTTGAATTTTTAAAAATTGAAGTAATGCATTAGTTCACTGTGCTGTGAAGAATTTTACATGTTTGAACATTAATGTCCTACTTCCACTCACTACAGAGAGAGGATTTTTTTTTTTTTTTTTTGCACCTTCCTACTCATCATATGAAGTGTTGAAGCAAACTTCTCAGGCAGTTGAAAATCTCTTATTCAATCTGGCACTGCAGGTTCTCTGGCCCCTCAGTCCAGCCAAGCTGTGCTGCGTGTTCCTTGTAGCCTAGTGTCTGTCTCCGTCTTCTCACAGCATCTGGGAGAGAAGGTTGAACGTAGACAACCGTATAGTTAGGGACATAGGTTTCTGGAAGTGGAATAAATTACATCCCTCTGGAATCTGAAATCCCTAGTGGCCATAAGTCAGTTATAAAACCCTACTCCTCCTTTTTGGCTACTCCATGTGAATCCTTGGAGATAAGATGGTTTGTTGGTGGTGATCAGTGCACGTGTCTGAGGACTGCCATAGCTAAGGGGAGTCCTGGAAAGCTCGACTGATAATATGTGCCAGGAGGGATCTGGCCTTTCATGTTCTTGGAAAATGAGCAAGATCAAGAGTTTGAAGCTGGCAGGTGAAGCCAGGTATGCTGGTTGTGCATGCAGATCTCTCAAAGCACAACCATGTAATCCATTTTGTTGTTCTATAGAAATAAGATAAAACCAAACCTCTCTGGTTGCACTCCATTTTGTTGTTCTATAGAAATAAGATAAACAAAACCAAACCTCTCTGGTTGCAAAGAAGTGTGTATAAAGATCATCTGTTTCATCATCATGCAGTAATAATAGTAGGTGAAGTGTTTTCTGGAAATTAGCATGTAATTACCTAGGGAAATCTGAAACTTATTTGAAATTGGAACTGGTTTTTTTTTTTTTTTTTAATAGCATGGCAGCAGGTAATTTGTGTAAGTATGTGATGGAACTGGAACATGAAGGGTGGATTGCAAAATGCAGTATTGGTGATACTACCTGAAGATTCTTTACAGATGCTGTGTTACACAGCTGCATAAGCAAGGACAGAGCTGTGCAGAGCAATCTGTGACAGTACCTGTTTGTACAAAACCTCTCTGCAAAGAAGAAAGCAGTTATTTCCTTCTGTGGGCTTTTGGAGTTAGCACACATGATTTAATAAATGCGTTTTACTTTCCCAGGAGAGATATCAAACTGTACTAAGTGTTTCAGTGGTATTTCCTTAGGAAGTCAAAATGTTATTCTGTATGTAGAGTCTTGTTGCTTAATTTCCAGACAAGGAGCTAAGTTAGGCAGAAAAGAAAGGAAAAACACCCTAGCTTTTGGCATGTGAGGATCAGAGAAAAA